TTATTTTTATAATTACATTCAATATTACTGTTGGCTTTGTCATCTTAATTTTTTATCACTTGAAATATTCTGAAAACAGGTACATAGATTTCAAAGGTCTTCAGGGGCATTTTTCATCTGCTGGTGGCCAAACAAAATCATAATTAAGTATACTTTATAGGGCCCAGGACAATAGTTCAGTAGCTAAATGCCTTGCATCCACCAGGATCCCATATGGGCCCCAATTCATGTCCCAGCTGCTCCATTTCCAATCCAGCTCCCTCTCCTTGTGGCCTGGGAAAGCAGTAGAGAACAGTCCAAAGCCTTGGGACCCTGCACCCACTTGGGAGACCCAGAAGAGGCTCCTGGCTTTGGATCAGTTCAGCTCCAGTCATTGCAGCCACTAGGGGAAAGAACCAAAAGACCAAAAAATCTTTCTCTCTTTCCTTCTCTCTGCAAACCTGCCTTTCCATGAAAATAAATTAAAAAATTAATGAAGTCTGCCTTACAGTGTGGGGAAGGGGGGAGAAAATGGAAGACATACCTAAGTGTTGTAATGCCCTGCTCAGTAAATGTTACATGTCACTTACACTTATATTCCATCAATGAGAATTTACTCATATGGTCACACACAAAAGGGAGCCTCTGAAATGTAACATATAAGAGAAGCCATGTGTCTGTAACCTATCACAACATAGAAAGAAAAAAAATCAGTGAACCCCATGCAATCATTGCTATTACTGCTTTGTATCTGATTCCACGTGTATTTCCTCCATTTTGTTCTAAAAATGTATTCATACATGTTCTTGCATGTATGTGTGTGTGTGTGTGCAGATTTGGTGGGGTTTTTTTTTCAGTCAGTCTTGTGTATTTCTTTTTCTGTGTTATTTCTTTGACTAACATCTTCAGTATAATGTCAGTTAAAAGCAAACCTACAGAGAATTTTTATCTTGTTCTCAACTGATTAGAAATTCTGGTAAGAAACTTCCGAATGGAGTGAGATACTTGTTCTAGGTCTTCTGTAGATAACTCTTGTACAGTTAAGTAAATAGTGATCTTTTCTTGGTTTTCTAGAATGACTTGAGACTTATAAAAAGTTGTACCTTTTCATGATCTGGCCATGGGAGTAAATGATTGAAGTTTCTTCTCTAAAAAGATACAGGAAGTAATTAAGGAATTATTTTCTTTTCTCTGGAGATACTGACATTCTTCCCAGAACAAGGTCTGATCCAACTTTATTGGGAATATTTATGAATGGATACATACCAAATTTCTGCTGGCCTCTGAAAGTAGGGCCTGAACTGTTTAACAAAAACTTGCAAAACAGGGGACTCATATTACAACCTTGGTTCTAACAGAAACCCACTGGTGTTGCTCAACAATATTGAAACAGCTAATATTTACAATGCTCTTATCAGGTGTCAGGCTTTGTGATAAGCACATTACCTGCTTTGCAGCATGGAATGTTGACAAAATCCTGATGACACAGATATTATCATGAGTCTCATTTTACAAAGAAACACAGTACAGAGTTTAGATATCTTCTGCAAAATCACAAAGCAATGTAAGTAGTAGCCAAGCCAATGTTATCATATAACTTCAGTTAAAATGAATAAGTTAACAATCAATTTTATTTACAACAAATCATTATCCTTCTCTGGTTTTCTAATTTCTCATTTACGAAATCAAACTGTGAACTATACCAAGAATAAGCAGACCTCCATGGGAATGGGTCTATTAAGAAAAAAGTAGAATATTTGTGGTGCGCATATGTTTAAAAACGTACATTTTCATTTCAAACTTAAAACACAACATCAGCAATAGTATTTACACACTTGCTATTGTTTTTCTGAAATCAAAGAGCTTCACCTTTGGGCTCGAATTTCAGACACTACATCATTAAGCCTAATTGCACTATTTATGTGAACCAAACTCCAAAACTGTAGTTTTTGAATATATATTGTCTGAGATGAAATATATTTGATGGGTGGGGATGGTTCATTGATGAATCTTGGTATAATAAAAGTATCAACCTTAGGCAAGAATAGAGACAGACAAACTAATGAAGAGATGCCTACTTGAATAAGTGACCAGAATGCAATATTTAGAAAGGAGTGCTATTAGGATATAGAGGAAGAATAGTTATGTGATAAATTTGACTTATATATTATATTGATTTATATTACATTAACACGATGGATTCTTCTGGTGGGAATTGATCTTTGTCTTTCTCTATTATCCCATGATCGTTAGGTCATGAAAGCTAAAACCTTACCAGTAAATTCTCAGTCTGATTCAACCCTGCACTGAGAGTACATTTATTCAAACTGGCAAGGGAAGTTTGGGTAAGAGCGAAAAAACTACTCCGATGAGGTGGAGGAAAGGAACTTTAAAAATTCAAATATCGGGCCCGGCGCGGTGGCGCAGTGGTTAAGGTCCTCGCCTTGCACGCCCAGGATCCCATATGGGCACCGGTTCTATCCCGGCAGCCCCGCTTCCCTTCCAGCTCCCTGCCTGTGGCCCGGGAAAGCAGTCGAGGATGGCCCAAAGCTTTGGGACCCTGCACCCGCGTGGGAGACCCGGAAGAGGCTCCTGGCTTTGGATCGGCATAGCATCGGCCGTTGCACTCACTTGGGGAGTGAATCATGAGACAGAAGATCTTCCTCTCTGTATATCTGCCTTTCCAATAAAAATAAATCTTAAAAAAATGCAAATATCAGGTATTGCATTTGAACTTTTTAATATTTATTAATGTTATTGTAATATTCAGGTATAAGAAACTAGTTGTGTTTCAATGCTCTCCTAGAAAGCAAAGTAGGTTACACTTATCAGTCCAGTTTCCTTGTAGCTAACTGGAAGGAATTCTGACGAATATTCCAACAGAGGCTTCTTGGGCTGTGAATAATAATGGATCACAGATGGCATAGTTAAATGTTTGGTCACAAGATTGCCTCCTTCCACTAGAAATGTAGCTTTTTCAGGGTGCCTATTCAAGAGAAGGCATATCTTTTTTTTTTTTTTTTTAGATATATTTATTTTTATTGGAAAGTCAGATATACAGAGAGGAGGAGAGACAGAGAGGAAGATCTTCCGTCCGGTGATTCACTCCCCAAGTGAGTGCAATGGCCGATGCTATGCCGGTCCGAAGCCAGGATGCAGGAACTTCTTCCAGGTCTCCCATGCAGCTGCAGAGTCCCAAGGCTTTGGGCCGTCCTCGACTGCTTTCCCGGGCCACAAGTAGGGAGCTGGATGGGAAGCGGGGCTGCCGGGATTAGAACCAGCACCCATATGGGATCCCGGTGCATTCAAGGCGAGGACTTTAACCACTACACTATCATGCCAGGCCCGAGAAGGCATATCCAAGTCCACATCAGAATATACTGCTTATTTATTTACAATTAAAATACACCGAAAATTAACCAATGAACTGTTTCCCAACCAAATTTGTGTTGGGTCCACAACTTTCCCTAGGAAGACAATGCTCCTGGTGTTTTTCTCCAAAATCATCATCAGGAAGAAACTATCAAATCAGCAAACAGGGCGAAGGAGAGTTAGTTTGGGCTGATCCAGAAATCAGACGTCAGCAATATACACATCTTTGGTTCCCTTTTCATCAATGTGCAACACAGCCTTGTGGGCAACCTAAAGAGAAGGAACAGACATTGTTAGTTCCTTGAAAAAAAATATATAAATTGCTTTGGGAGGTTTGGAAGTAGGAAAGGAAAAGAATGGATGTGTCCACCCTTTGCTGTGCTGTGTTGATGGCACTTGGATATGAAGGCTACTACTTGATTATGTGTGGCCAATTAATCTCCGGTGATTTTAGAACTAGCGGATAGGGAATCCCTCCATTCTCCCTTGGCTTCTGCCTCGAAGAGTCAATTTGCAAGCACCCACTCCATCCCACCTGACTGAGAACTGTATCTTACTATTGTCACTATTGATCAGTAAGCCTTTCTATTAGAGTCATTCTAAGGCATAAGAATTTGAAACGGAAGAAACTACAGCAATACTTATTCGGAGAAATGGGAATAATTTTAGAGCAATTAGGGCTTTATACAAAATTCCCAAGTATCAGATTCATCATTGATAAAGTGGCAAATACACCCTCATGGAAGACAGTACAGAAATTCCTCAGGAATCTGAAGAGAAATCTACTATACAACTCAGCCATTCCACCCCTACAAATTTACCCAAAGGAAATGAAATCAGTATGAGTTAGCTGTACTCTCATTTTTGTAACAGCTCGACTTGCAATAGCTAAGATATGAGATCAACACAGATGTCCATCAACTAATGACTGGGCAACGAAAGTGTAGCATATATACACAACAAAATACTATCAAGTTGTATAAAGAATGAAATCTTTTCTTTTAAAACAAAATGGATGCGATTGCAGACCATTATGCTTAGGGAAATAAGCCAATCACCAAAGGACAGCTACCATGTTTTTCCTGATTTGTGGTAACTAACATACAAAGTATAAGAAAATTATACACACACACATATATATATATAAGCAAAACTGATATTTTGAGGTTTGACAATTATTTATCTCTACACTCCTGAGGACGGCCCAAAGCCTTGGGACTCTGCAGCTGCATGGGAGACCTGGAAGAAGTTTCTCCATATGTTTATTGAATTATTTAGTAGAAGGTTGAGCTTATGATTAGAAAGTAAATTGACAGTATATCATTACAAAAACTAATTTAAAAGTAAAAACTAAGTTAAAAGTAAGAAAGGAAGAGAAAGGGTGGAAGAGAGAAGGAGAGAAAATAGAGTAGGAAGAATCATTATGTTCTTAAAACTGTATATATAAAAGTTGCTTCCTTTATATAAATATAGAAAACAAAGTTGAGTTAAATTATTCTCAATGGTCGCTTTTTTTTCTCAATATACTCTAATAATTTTCACTTAGTATTAAATGGCTCAGGGTAATTTTCCTGACTCTGGGTGCCTATTGAATCCAGTCTCCCATGTACTGTTATGCTCAACCTCCACTCCTCACATTCTCTAACATTTTACCCATTCTTCAGTTACCGGTTCCATTTCTTCAGTGTTTTAGGGTGGCACGGCTGCTTCCACCCACTCCGTTTGTCCCTCTTTGGGAAGGATTAGGAGAGCTAGCGCATTGTTTCTGTAGTCCATTTGCAGCACTGTGCAGTTCAGTTCTCCGTCCACCAGGTGGTAGCATTGTTCTATCTGGTGCATCATGGGCACTACTGTGGTCTTGTCCAAGTTAGCACTGACTTCTGTCTTGGATAGATCAAAACGATTTGCCCACTGTGTTTAAAATTCAGAGGAAAGAGAGGTGTACTTTTTTAAAGGAGTATCAGTCCCAATGGAACTTTTTCTAATAGTTATCTTGTCCAGTAATTAAGATACCACAAAGGTAGGTATTTACTATAAAACCAGTTTTACAAGTGAGTAACTGAAGATCAGGAAGGGAAAGTCATTTGACATGGTTACCAAACATCAGAGCTAAGAGTCAAACCCAGGGCAATTAGATTTCATAATTTGTATTACAAACCACATTATATCCACCAGACCCATAGGTTACACTTCCATAAGAACACACAAGGTGAAATTAAAAAAAAAAAAAAATCTGTTCTGTTGTTTTAGTCATCTGCAGGTTTAGAGTTTATAGCTTATAATCATTCCTTCGCCTCCAAACGTGGCTGACATATGTCACAGAACTAGAAGAATGAATTTTGCACAGAACTTTGAGAGAACAGTCATATGATTGATGTTATAAGCACCAACTTTTAAAAATTGTTATTTTCCACTATACAGTCTTGTAGGTATAGGGCTTGAATGAGATGATGTGTGTAAATCGCAAATGTAACACAGTATCTACTACATAATAGGTGCAAAATATTTGTTAAAATATGCTCAAGTGTGTGCAAAAAGTAAGGACCACTGTGGAGCTTAAGTGCAAATCAATCTACATACCAAGAACAGGCTTGTCCCACCTCACTAAACCTTTTAAAAGGCATAATTCTCTAACCAGACACAAGGAGAAGCTGAGCATTTTAACCAGTGCCTCTGCAAGTATGCTCTCCACAAAAAATTTCCTGGGCTCTTTTTCAGAGCTATGCTTTCTTCCTGTTAGGGCCAATACCATGCAAAGCAACATCCCAAGAAAGAGATCATCATGGCATGAGGGACACTCACCTACCTTAGTAACAGAAAACCACTAGCATCCCACCCTGAGCTCCACCAGAGTATCTTACATCAGACTCAAAACTGACACCTTAAAGCACTACTTTAAACTCCATATAATTCACCAAGACCATGACTCTGTTTCATTTCAGGTCTTGGATTAGGCCCACAATTTTCCCTTGCATTTGCTTCTGTACATGACTGTTGATTTCCTGCTGGGCTGAAGAAACATTGGAGAAGTCAGTAGAAAAGAGTTCAGTCTTATAGATGCTCTTGATATCATCCAAGAAGCTTGCCAGTGGTCTCAGCTGCTTCCAAATGAAGAGGGCATTTCCCATTCCAGTTTCTTCTTTGGAAAACTAGGTGAACAGATCAGATACCAAAAGCTCTGCTGTCTCTGCCATGGGGGTGTCTGTGTGGTTAAACCCCAAGCCCTTCAGAATTTATGTTTGAGTTGTGGAGCATGCTCCAAAGGAAAGCATGGCTATAGCTGCAGAAATGCTCACGGGGGACAAAGATGATGTTGTGACCTGGGGTCTCCACGATGACCCTCCAATACAAGTTAAATGCAAAACCAGCATTGATGGAGATACTATCTTATAGAGTGGAATCTTGTTGGGGTGAATGGCAAGTGGTGACTTTGCTTGCAAGCCTGTTAGGAGACACACACTGGATTGGATGGATGAAATATTCTCTGGGCCAAAAACACAAAAATGCCCACCTTGATCAATTTTTTAAAAAGTGGCAAATACTTGATAATGTGCTCCTAAGGGGCTGGATAGCAGTCCTTCTCTCTCTCTTAAAACCATAATGTTGCATCTAAAATGGGACCCATAAAAGTAATGCCATTGACTGAATCAGATGAAACAGCAAATTTGTAAAAATATTGAAGTATATTAAATCTATGGAATTTGAATCACCCTTTATTTGAATGGGTGGCAGCCTTTTGGAGAGAGAGTAATACTTAGGTAAAATTAACTCTTTCCTTACATTATTCTCTGTAGAATACAACTTTGGATTGTGTTTTATTTTAAAAAAAAAATTTTTTTGTATTTCCTTAACAAAACTGTGTGAGATGAGAACATTCCTTTATTCAGCTAAAAGACAAAATAAAAGCTGTAAGTATAAGATATGATTAGGTAGGATGGAAGGCTGGTAGGTTATGTACAAGGTCGTGAGCTAAATTTAGTACACACAAACCATAGAAGCCTTGGGGCTATTTTGAAATAGCAGGAAAATTAAAGTGTGACTTTCTGTATTTTAGATATTTCTCTCACCTTCAGATATTCTACAGAGTCATATCCAAGTTTTAACACAGTGCAAGAAAGCAATAGAGCTAGGTACACTGAGCATGCAAAAATTAACACAAAAAAGCAGAGAAAGTCAGTCAGCTGTGGGACTCCAGTAAGTTGTAGGAGGAGAGCCTTATGGAGCCAAGCAGGGCTCCTTACTCCATTCATCATCATTTTCCTGAGTGATCGCATCCTAGTCAACCTGATGCTATATGTCCATAGTCCAGATTGCTCTCCTGAATTTCTAGCCATTATTCAACTGCCTGTTGCATATGTCCACCAGGATGGTTCACACATGCTTCCATCCCAATGCGAAAGTCTCAATGTTTCCAAACATGAACAAATCAGCTCTTTTTGACTCAGTGTGCCCTTTCATCTTCATTCCATGTCTCTGTCTAGCCCATCACTGTCTATGGAGAACCCTACGCCAGAAACTTTAGATTAATCCTAGGGGTCTCCTTCATGTTCATCCGCACATCTAATGAACCATAATGCCCTGTGCAACCAACCTCCAGAGTACTTCTCAAAGCACACCCCATTGCTAATGCCACTGCCTCATTTCATGGCCAGAATTACTATGTCAGCTTCAAGTGGGTCACAACACCTCCTCTCTTCCATCCCAAACTCCCCCTTTCCCACCACTCTAACATCCATATTGCCACCAGTGTCCTATGCCTGGTAAAGTTAACAAGCTGCTAGAAGGTCAACTGTCAGGTGATCACTCTTAGACCTTGGCCCTTCGAGCTAGGAATTTGGAGCTCATGCTGATTTCAGACTCTGAGCTGCTGATAGGGATGTTCAAAGTTCCCAAAAGGAGGGGAAAGCACTTACAGCACAATGCAAGAAGCCACCAATATCTCAGAGAGCAACACCTTGCTATTTTTATAACATGCCCTCTATTGCAAAACTGGAACACTCTTGGTTACAAATTAACTTCAACATTAACCCAGGAATGATATTCTCAAAGCCAATGCAGAAAACCAAGGCCAAAAGGAACAAAGTGAAAATGATAAGGATGAAACTTCATGTGATTGCTTTGGCTGAGATAGCTCATCTATTACAAAAAAAAAAAAAAAGGATGAGGAACATCAAAGCTAGTGGAGCCCATGTTTGTGCTAGGAAAAGCATCTTTTTGACAGACAGAATGAAGGCCAGGGGAAATCTTGCAACATGTACTAGAACACAGTTCTTACTATCAGGGCTAAACACTGGATCAGCAACCTTTTTAGGGAAAGACACACAGGTGCAGAGGCTGGGTGAATCTCTAATGGGCTAAATTGGAATTATTTATGAATTCATAGCGGAAATGATGTCAAAAATATCTTCCAACCCTAGACTTCTGATTGTATTCATATATATGTCTGCTAAGACAGAAAGCCGGGCCTGTCTTTTGGTCACTAAAGTCCCCTGTGCCCTCCCTCTGGCCACAGGACACCTAACGGGGAATGAAGTTGCCAGAGAAGAAGAAATCAAAGAATCCACTATCCAAAACTTGTTATGTACTGATTGTTTGCAACAAAGCAATGACAGCCTTCAAGGAGGCTCAAGTTCAACCTGATCTATGCCAGTTTTGAGGAGGGAGAAGAGGAGAAAAAGACCCTGCCTTTGCATATTTCCCATGTGCGGAGCATTTGATGAAGCTGTCTGAGTCCAGACATTGTTGGCTTCAGCACTTTCCTGCATGAAGGATACATGTGTTAAATTGAGGTGGAGCAGGGGAGGGCAGGGCAGCCAGCTGTTTTGGCAACGCAAGAGCTGTCTATGGTGAGACTCGGAAACCAAAACATACCATGCAGACTTTACACATTGAGGGCATTGGGTAGTGGGATTTTGACCATGCCATGACTGAAGAGATGATTGTTCTGTGCCATTGCTTCAACTCAACCAAATCTAGATCGAACTCCTACTGTGTAGAAAGCACCAAACTCAGCACTGATGGTTCGGGGTGAGTGGTAAGTAGGATGAGCCCCTTAGATCTTTCTAAGTACCTGGTTCCCTCTCCCAAATTGAATGGGAAATGGTACCCCTGGGCTATACGATAGTCAGTAGTGAGTATGTTCCACAGAAAAGCAACAGCAAGCTCAAGTCTTGCTTGAGCTCGAGTCTCATATTGACTGCCAGGTCAGTATGCTCAATCCTGACAAGGAAAAACACTGTCTACTCCCTCAGATACTACAAGCCCCTGCAGAAGAAATGTAGAGATGGAGGTAGGGGGTTGGGGCTGTAAAGAAAACTTGCAAATCTATGCCCTCTGCTGGCATGGTCAGAAAATGTCACAATTTATTTTTTACTGTATTTGATTCTTTTGAGCTTAACTAGCAAGTGATGACTTCAGGGTTAGTTTCTTTAAGCAAAGTTAAAAGTACATTAGAGCTGGGCAGAGGCCCAGCATGATCACTGTGGACAAATCACAGAAAGCACTGGGCATGCTCAGGATCATGGCTCTGCCCACAGCCGCCATGTTGATGGATGGAGTCCAGGTAAGTCTGCGAAGCTGCATGGGTACATGGGTCCCCCAGCCACCCATGCTGACCCAGGATTCCAGATGGGTATCCTACCTCTGCATCCACCAATGCTAGGAAGGGGGAGGGTCCTGGGCTTGTGGGTGCCACTCAGCAGTGAGCTCTGGGGTCTTGGGGGTATGGATTTACTGCCTAGGGACATCCATGCATAAGGCTACTATACATGTAGGTGAGGAATGAATCCTGAACTACACCCAAGGACAGGGCTTCTGCACTCGCAAATAAGCAAAGGGACTGAGTCGTGGTGGTTTGGAGGGGAGAGACCTGAAAATTGTTATGGGTCAGAATGATTACCAGCCCACATGGAAGTCCTGAGATGAGCTTATTAGCATAGAACATCACTGACCACAGCATGCCAGCCCAGACGAAAGCTATGGCTGGATGCCTGTCTAGCAGGGCTGGATCCCAATGCCTGACAGTAAGTGTCACATCAGGGAATGGGTCATTAGACTGGGCCCTGACACCAACCAGCATGCAAGAGAACCAGGTTCAGGGATGGATTCTGTGAAAAAATATGTGGGCCAAACCCTATGGAAATACAAGTCCTGCTGGTTAGGTTGAGAGTTGGGGTAGTGATGGGCAGAGCTAGGCATGACTATAAAACTCATGGATGCTCAGCAGTGCTAGGACTGGGCACAGGTGAGGCAGGTCCAGGCTGCAGCACCTACATGAGCACGCTAAAATAGTGTGTGGGATGGGCCAGCCCATAAAAGCTCATACATGAGACGAGTGAGGCAACATTGAACAAGAGCCAACAACTGCTGGCATACATGAGATCTGGGTCTGGGAGTGGCCCAAGTGGGGGAACCTTAGAAACTGCCCCAGTGGGTCATAACTCCCACAGTTGAGCACATGGTCAGGCCTGGGTGTTGCACAGGCTGGGCAGGGTAGCTCCATCTGTCAGCAAGTGTGTGAGTTGGTTTTGGACAAGACTGACTGGGTGTGAACAAGCAAACCATAGCCCACTGGCAAGCACAGAAACCAAGATGGAGTGCAGGTCATATCGGGCTGGGATGCCACACCTACCGATTCGCATGAGTCCTGGATGAGAGCAGACAGCAGGGCCAGGTTGCAATATCTGCTAGCAAGAGTAGGGACTGGGGGCTGACTGGGCCAGGCCAGGCTACAGCATCTGAAGGCAAAGGCCAAGACAAGGGAGGGGCTATGCCAAGCTGAGTCAGAGCTACCACTGGGCTAATTAGAATGGAATGCATGAGATCTGTGGCTTAGATCAGGCCTGGTTGGGGAGATAAGGGGAGACACTGTATGGGTTGTGGGTTCCACTGGTGAGTGCAGGGGCCAGAGTGGGTGCAGCGCTCTGGTCTGGATATGGATACAGTCTCCCTCGGCACTAGTGTGGACTCGGACTGCGGCATACAAGACTGGGCTAGACTCCAGCACCCACTGGAGCTCATGAGAACCAGGAGGTGGGGTTTAGGATGGGCTGGGCTAGGTCTCTGTCCCTTCTGAGCCATGCCTGAGCTGTGTCTGGGTATGGACCACACTTGGCTGGACTATAGAACCCAACAATAAAAACCAGAATGGGTGAGTGCTGGAAAGGAAAGGCCACAGTTCCTGCTAGAACAGGAGGTAGATTAAGTAGGTCCGGTCCATGGACCCACCAGTATGCACAAGATCTGACATTGAGATTTTGATGGAGGAACTTGGCAACTCCTCTGTTGGGACACAGTCCCTGTAGGTGAGCACAAGAAACAAGAAAGGGAGCAGTCCAGACCAGGTCAGGTCATGATACCCATGGGCTTACCTTTGGCTCAGGTCTGGGGCAAGCCAGGCTGGGCCAGTTCATATCACCTGCTGGCAAATCTGAGAGCCAGAATGGTGTATGGGTCATGCCAGGTCAGGCCTCAATACCAGCCACTCCACATTAAGACCAGGACTGAGGGCTGGCTGGGCTGACTAGGCTGTAGTCCTCACCAGTGTGAGTTGGAACTGGAGGCACGCTGGGCCAGGCCAGGCCAGGCCAGGATATAACACCCACTGGCAAATTTCAAGGTGAGGTAGGCCATATCACTCTGGGCTGCAGCATTCAACCAGCACACATGAGGCCTTGGGTTTGAGTGGGCAAACCCAGTAGGAAGGCTTTAGGCAGCTCCCCTGATGGGCCACTATTCCCACTGGTGAGTGTGGGAGCTGGGATTGGGGGAAGACCAGGCTGGGCAGGGCTACAGCCTCTGTTGACCTGCAAGTAAGCTAGATTAGGGACAAGCCAGGCTGAGCAAACTGTACCTATTGGTACATGCATAACCCGGAGAGGATGAGGGTTGGTTGGGCTCTGCAGCAGCATCAGCCTCAGATGCTGGAATGGGGGTGGGGGGAAACTGTCAAGCTAAACTGCAGTACAACCTGAGCAGCACAAGATCCAGGAGTGTGATGGACCCAGTAGGGAAACAGTGGGCACCTCCCTCTTGGGTTGTCACTCCCACTGTTGAGCATGAGAACCATGACTGGGACAGGCATGGCTAGACAGAGTGGCACCCATATGCACAGGCTGGATAGAGAGGCTGGTTTGGTCGAACTAGGCTTCAATGCCTCTTAACATATATGAGAGCTGAATGCAATGTGGGATAGACAGGACAAGCCCCTGTACATACTAGCAAGCACAGGAACCAGGACAGGAGGCAGACCTGGTGGAGGTTATTGCAGCTTGCTCTCACTAGGCTTCAGCTTCGATTGGTGTGTGGGGGCTGTGTGGTAGGCAGGATCAAGCTGGACTACAACACCCATTAGTTTACATAGAAGACAGGGCTGGAGTTTCTTTGGGAATCCCCCAAACTGAATCGCTGGACTCAGAATTCCAACCATTGAGGAAAGTGCAGCATCGTCTGACTGTGGAATGCATGTGTCAGAGCTGAGCCTCTTCAGTGGCTTAGATGGAGCAGTAGACAGCATATCCAGAATCACATGGAGGATATGACAGAACACTGCAGCTTGCACAAGACACCTGGTACCATAACTGAGGACAGAGGACAGAACAAATCAATCAACTACCCCAGTCAAGAGTTGGCAGTGAATACCTGAGCAACGGATACTCTAAGGTGGACTATGTCAGCCAATGATTTTTGCAGATTTCATCATGACTGGAGTGGCAAGACTGGCAGTAATACAAAACTGTTGAACTGTGAAAACCACTTGAGCAGGACCCTCACAGTATGCTCCACATTGGGGACCCTGAGATGGGTGAGGCTGGGTGTGTCTTCTCCCCTTATCTCTCCCCTGCCCCCAGACACAGGAAGGAAAAATGAGAATGTGAAAACAATTTCCTCTAGCCCTTAACCCTTCACAACCTAATCAAATATGTAAAAATTATCAAAATTAAATTTATATAATTAAAAAATATTAGAATAGAGGGATTCAAGATGGTTCTATAAAGAGGTCCATTGTTTGCCTACTTGTCTATCAAGATACTCCAAAGTTAACTGTTATGGAGAGCACTAGAGCTATCACATGGGACACAATTGTAGGCTATAAGCAAGAGTCTTTATTGGCCAAGCTTGGTGACAGTAGCTGGTGCTACACTCCAGGAACCACCATGGTACACAGTTGACATCAGGTGTTTTAAACTCCCATTGGCGTGCAGCAGCCAGGGATTTTTTTTTTTTCTCAAACCATCCAACCAGTGGACCATATTCTGGTTGGCACATAATACAAGTGATCCAATCAGCTTAGATAGTGCACAACACAAAATATCCAATCACCTTAAGTTCAGATCACACATGAAGCAAATCAGCTAGCAAGCACGTTTACAAAAGCAGATAACTTCGTTTAACTATGCTGGAAACTTAGTCAGAGAACCACAACGGAATCATATCTGCCCTCTGCTATAAGGCGCTACACCCCATCACAAAATTACCTCTTGGCAGCCCCAGAAACATTCTTGCATGATAACAAGGCAGACTGAACCTTTTGGATCCTGCTGGGTTCAGCGGGGTACCAAAAGCCCCCAGAACCCTGTGGCACTGGTCATCCCTAGGACACTGGAAATAAGGAGGCCCACCGCTTCAGTATTGAGAGCCATCCCCTTCACCACTGCTTCTTCCCTCTAATCACTTGAAAAAGAATCACAGATTGTGACTAGATTCCAGTGTCTGTACCCAGTCTGACTGCAGAGGCTCAGAACTCCCTATACATTGGGATATTTCTCACTGTAGGTTGGATGGCAGATTAAGGTCGAGTTGGAGCTCTGGACAGTGCAAATAAATGGGTGAGTAAAGTGAGTGTACACCATGACCTCATCTGAGCTAAGGACAGTGCAAATAAATGGGTGAGTAAAGTGAGTGTACACCATGACCTCATTTGAGCTAAGTAGCTAATCTTGGCACAAAGAAAAGGTGATTAATTCGAACACAGCATTTGATTCCATCTTCTGCTCCCCACAGTGACTGTAGCCAGAGGTATTCCCCTACAACCATCCTGAGTAGCACTCTGAACTCTCACCCTGCCTACAAATAATGGCCAGGTCTTCCTGGTCCCACCCAGCAAACTCCACTTGTGTGAAGCTTGTGTGAAGCAGCCCACCTAGCCCAGCAACTCATCAACCATCAGGACTTACAACAGGGCTCTTCATGCTGAGCCTAATACAACACAGCATTATGACTTGCTGGTGAATCCACACTTAGTCTAGGGCCAGCTTAAGTCTCGGGGCTTTGGGTTCTAGCCATAAACTGTCAGTTTGTTCAGTCCTAAAATAGCCACACTCAACCTAAACCAGTATGTATCACAGAGATAATGTTCATGGTACAGAGCCAAAGTCTCTCACATACTCAATCACTCTCTTACAACATCTTTGATAGCCTCCCTGACCCAGCATTGACGGAACCCTTAGAACTCAATTTGAACAGTGGTTACATGTTTCTCAATTCACTCAGCTCCTGGATCCAGCACGGACTTCATAACTCCAGTGCCTGGCTTGAATACTGAC